AACAATCATGGAATGATTTTAGAATTCATTTTTTAGTTTCAGTGTCAATGAAAAGCTTTTGCTTTCCTTATGTGGTTTTTTTTTCCTCAGAAACTACAAGCTACAGGGAATGGATTTTATGTCTATTTGCTTTGAATCTCTAGATCAGATTTGACTTTGAACCCAGCTGTACTTTCTCAACCCCCATCTCAGATCTCATTTTTTTATCTGTATTTTTTTCCCTCACTCTCACTCCATTTTATCCCAGCTTAGTGGTAGATTATAGTAACGCACAACAAATGGACTGTAAACTCGCAGGGGGAACATTACATTCAGAACGTACACAAGGCCTGGTCACGTCCTCTTCTTCCTGGCAAAGTGCAGACTCCTGGGAACACCAAGCTGAGGAAAAGGAAGCAAAACAGATTTGCTCAGTGTTTCAGACAAAGGAATGTAGTTCTTTACAACCAGATGGTCTCAGATCCCCTAGAAACTTGATCCTCAACACCATGAGAAATGTTAACGACCATATCAATCTCCAGAGACTCTGAAATGTATGCGGAGAACTACACTTACCACATGCTGTCTGATGAAATTTCCCAAGGTTAGTAAGTTGTCCAAAAAAACCTACTGGCTACAAAACAATATAGTATTTCTTTTAAAAAAAGAGAAAAGTCCTGACATGAATTAAAGAAAATGTAAAAATTAGAGAAATCAAAAATTAGCAATACAGAAAAATGGTGATGAATACCCAAGGAAGAATGTTAGAAGTAGCTGTTGCTAGGAGGTAGGAACAGGGAAAAGGAGGGATAAAACAGGCAGCGTCTATTTCTAGCTTATAACACCACTTTTAGAATGTACTCAGATATACTCTCTAAAAAAGAATGGAGCCAGTCAGATGGCTTGGCAGGTAAGGTGCTTGCTTCCAGGCCTGACAACCTAAGACAGAAACAATGTCTGCAAGTATTCTCCAGCCTACACACAGGCGGAGATAGAAGCACAAAATAAAGATACAAAAGAGCAGTAAACACAAAATAAAGATACAAAAAAGCAGTAAAGTAACAAAATAAAACACATCTGTCCTGTGCAATAAGAACATCACATGAACTTCCATGACAGGAGCTTCACGTTTCCAAGCTGTCCACTTTCCCTGAAAACACAGCACCCCCACAGACCCACTCTCTGCCCTTCTGAGCCGCCTCACCTCTCCTTCCCACCATCTGGGTCAAACGCTCCATGTCGCACAGCTGTTGCTGGTGTTTCAAGGTTGAGATGTCACTTAGCTCTCGCTGGCTCTGCGGAGCACGGTCAAGACAGTCTGTCGGTAGGTACAGCGTCCACCCTTCCCAGGACGCTCCAGCTTCTGGTGTGTGCGGCTCTCAAGTCAGAAGGTCTCCGTCCATGACAGACGTCAGTTCCCAGGCATCTTTATACTCACACCACAGGGTCTTAGTGTTGTGAGGCAGGACCTGTAGGCGCAGACCAGAAAGGAAACTTGCCTCATGCATTCTCACAGGTTGTCAGAACTAGCCTCACAGACAGCCCCCAGGGGTCAACACCTTCTGACGGATTACTGTTGTTTAAAACATTGTTTTTGGACAATGTGATACACTGCCTCAACACTCATTTCCTTGTTTGTAACTCTCTCTCTGGAGTCACTGGCCAGAGATATTACATGTAAAAACCATGCGGGCTCAGGGATAAAACCTAGACTGAGCACCTCAGGCTAAATTAAATACTCAGCAGAGATACCCAGAGTCTAGAAACAAAGTGATGCTCAAACATCTTTGTGTACAGAAGTGTAGCCTCAATGCAGAGGCAAATATAATGCTGAATCAAACAAACAACGAAGGGCCTGGCAGGATGCATCACTGGGCAACAAAACTTACTGCATAAGCCTGACGACCTGAGGTCTACCCGTGGAGCCCTGTGCATTGAAAGAGGAAAGGAAGAACTGACTCCAAAAGCTGTCCTTCTGACCTCCACACGCCCACTGTGACACATATGCTTCTCACAAGCACGTACACTAAGTTCTGAAAAATACTTAGTCACAGAAATCCCATGTTGGAATAAAGGGAGTTGCATTAAAAATCCAGAAATTACCATTTCTCTATCTCCATTGCCTTGTAATTGAGGTAAAAGAACACTATAGTTTAGATTTTCATGACTTTTCATTTGAAATTAAAATTATAACCCTTCCCAGCACTCTGGGAAGACAGAGGCAGGCAGGCAGGCAGATCTATGTGAGTTCAAGGCCAGCTTGGTCTACAAAGCAAGTCCAGTACAGCCAGGACTACACAGAGAACTCTTGTCTCGACAATAAGTAAGTAAATAACAAATAACATATATAGGATACTAGATATAAATAGCTATTAAATATATTAGTTTACCTTTACTAGGTAAAGAGGAAAAAGGATACAGAAAAGTTAATAAATTTTTGTTCTGTATGACCGAACTAGTAAAGCAGAAAAATTGTTTTAATACATCTTGGTGTTGTACTTGAGATACATTCCTAACAGCCTTCACACGGTTACTTTGTTTTTTCAAGCCAAGGTCTCGCTCAGTAATCCAGGCTAGCCTGAACTTATTATCATCCTTCTCTGACTCCGTACTACCAGCATTATCGCTACAAGCCATCCGTCCACTTTTACAAGTTTACTTTTTATTCCACAATTCTCAAATGCTAAAGAGCAGTATAATTTATACTACAGTACCTATCTACTGTCTTCATGAAGACAGGAATTCTGTTTAATTTTGCCAGTGACAGATAGGTGTTGGATAATAAGATATGCACCCATTACAAGTACGGCAGCCAAGAAAGCTAAACATGGAGTAAGCAATAAAAATCAAGCAAGCCTCTTCCTGTGTATAATCTCAATGTGGTTGAAAATTAAGGACTCCGATTCTCTATATCCTTATGCTTATAGCAGTGCCATTTGCAACAAACAAGATACGTGTGTTCATAAATTCATAGACACTAAAAATATTTATCCATACACACATATTATGTAGGCTTGCAAAAGAATTTTGACATTCCTAATCCAGACGAACACTGAAGACTTTATGTTAAATTAAATCAGTTAAAAAGGACAACTACAGCACAGGTCCTCTGAAATATTTAGAATTTTGTAGTTGCTGGGACTGGGAGAAAGGAGGAAACAGGGAATTTTCTAATATAAAAGCGGTGCTGTGAGTAGTGAGGGGTAATGAACATGGAAATGTAAATGTCCCATGTCACTGAACAATATGTGTAAACATTAATATAATGCAATTAATATTGTATATTTTCCACAGTTTTAAAAACAAACATATCCATGTATATATATATTTGCTTATTTGCTGACCTGGGATTCTACCCCAACCCTCAGTTTTGGGGGTTTTGGTTTTTGGTTTTTTCCTCTCACTATACCTTGGATTAGTCTCAAGCAACCTTGACTGTGAACTCCTCCTGCTTTGGCCTCCTAAATGCTAGGATCACTGGCATGTGTCACCACACCCAATTTGAGAATTTTAAAGGAGAAAGTAATGTAAAGTAAGTAATGTATTACCCAAGAGCAACAGAAAGAGAAGCTACCTAGCCTGGTGTTCAAGTATTTAAATGTCTTACTTAAATATGTTAAGTAAATTTGTTAAGTATGCACAGACAACAACAGAAACCAAGCCAATGAGGGAAAAAAAAAAGGGGGAGGGGGAACGGGACAAGGTAAATGTAAACAATACATTTTTTTCAGTAACATGATAAATACAACCGAATTCAACTCACCTATTAATAGTCAAGCCGGATAAATGAGTTTAAAAGCTCAGCTGATACGCTTCTCATGAGAAACCTGAAACATAAAGGGTTTGGAACATAAAATTCCCGACAAACGCAATTTTTAAAAGAGACAAAGCAGTATGATCAACAAGCACACTTGCACTAAAAGGGAACCCCCGGAACTAAGATGGATGTTTCTGAGTGTGGCAAACAGTTATGACTGTCTTCTCGTCTTCGAACTGTAACGTACAGTTACCCGCACAAGCTTACCCACACAACTTTTCTTAGGCTAAAAACGGACACATTTGGAAACGGCCGTTTTCAGAGCCTTTGCACGATCTCCCTTGTGCTCCGGTATCCACCGTGAAAATAAAGCGTCTTTGGAACCGGTTCTCTCAAACCCGAGGCCCAGAAGAGACAAGTGGCACCAATCTGAACTCTCCCTACCGCTCTGCGACTCAGCTGAAGCGCAGCCTGGATCAGCTAAATGCAGTGAACATTGCCGACAGCGGGAACTGGAGAATCAAGCCCAGCTGACGTTTGCTCCTGAGCTTAGGGGTGGTTGTTTGTTTTTTTTGTTTTTTTCCAGCCATTCCTAAACGGATTTCAGGACTGGAAATGACCTCCTCGGTAGCTTTGCCTGGCTACCGGTTAAATGGTGGGTTTAACCCCAACATTGCAGAAATAAAGACGGATAAAAATAACAAACAAAATAAGCCAAGCAAGCAAGCCATTAGGCAATGATGAACTCAGTCGCAAAAAGGAAAACTGAAACGTTAGCGAGGTGTTGGGAGGAGGCAAGAGACAGCAAGGCGAGGGGGCCGGTGAACAGGCGGAGGCACTAGAAAATACAGATTTTTTTCCCCCCTTAGTTACCAGTTATGTCAAATGCACAAACCCAGGAACCACCTCGCGGGACAACCCCACGCGCTCCGCCACCCTCACCTCGCACCAGGGCACCCAGACACAACCACACACCAGGACACAACCCCACAACCACACCTCCTCAGGCTCCTCGGCGTGACACACGCTGACGCTCACCTCGCCCCGCGCCCTGTCGGTCCGCAGCCCACGGCCGGCGCCAACCGGACCCCTCGGGGCTCCCCCTCGCTTCCCGCGGACGGCGCCCCCCGCCCGCAGCCCCCGAAGCGCAGCGGCAGGCACACGCAGGCGCCCCGCGGCCAGGGCGAAGGACTGCGGCAGCTGCGCGCGCCCGTTATGTCCCAGAAGGCCCCGCGGCCCGGCCCGACTTCCGGTCAGAGCTCGGCCCGCGTTTCCTGTGCCTTGAAGGAGCGGCCGGCCCGCCGAGGGCGCGAGCCGGGAGCGCCGCGGCGCGGGGACGCGCTGGCTGAGCGGCGGCGGCGGGGACGCTCTTCCCGGCGACGTCCGGGGGAGGCGCCGCGGCCCTCGGCGGCTGTCCCTCCGTGGACTACATTTCCCAGAAAGCCCGTCAGGCCTCTCGCCGGGACTCGAGCGTTTGCCCTGGCCTGGCGGGACCGTTAGATCGTGAGCAGTGAGGAGATCCTAGAGCGAACCGTAGGGTTGCTGTTGAGGGCAGCCCGGGACCACCGGAAGGGTGAGGACGGAGGAGGCCTGTGGGAGCACCAGCACCATGAAATGGCTGGTCACCTACATGTATGTGGCATCCTGCGCGTTCCCGTGGACTCCTCTGTCACCTCTGTGGGGGTGACTTGAGAACTCTCTCTCTGAGGTGAGGTCTAGACACTGAAATTGGGCGGGATGCCCGTTCTCCCTGATCTCCATACCCTAAGCGTGGTGGGTAATGGGGATAGGGCTGCTGTTGATCTCTGAACTGACCAAAAAAGACGTGCAGTGTCACGATTTTTTTTTTCTGCTCCCAGTTTTACCCTTTGCCGGGTGAGTTGTCCAGAAGAGGGAAAGAATTCACAATGAAATACAAATAATAGCCACGGTATGGTGGGGTTTCCTTTCTGTAAGCCCTCAGGAAATACTCTCTTGATGATCCGTCTTTTGAGTATAGATCCCTCTATTGTCTCCACTGGAGGAAAGAATAGCTGGACCTACTATGAAATCCTATTATTCTCCATACACCCCATGCATCGTTTGCAGCTTACGATCTTACTAAAAATATCATAAATATTCTCCCTTACCAAATGGTTTTCCTAAGCTCCATTGTTTAAACACACACATTTTCTTAGCTTCTTCAGATCATTTGTGTAAGCTTTCAGTACTGTTGCGGCTGGTGCGATGACTCAAGGGTTAAGAACACCTGTTGCAGCAGACCCAGGTTTGATTCCCAGCGCCACGTGGCGGTTCACAACCGTGTGTAACAACTCCAGTTCCAGAACGCCCTCCTCAGACTCCAGCAGCAGCAGGCATGTGCACATACACACAGGCAAAATATTTCTTATGCTTCATATACAATTTAAAATTTAAATATTTTGAAAAGAAGACCTCTGTATCCCAGTGACAGGCAGCTATCGTCTATTGATTCCCGAAGCTATGGATTTCAGCTTTTCATTTAGATAATGTTCTTATACCTGGCGTTGTATATGCGATAAAAGAAGGGTCAGATCCCACAACTTATTGTTTCCCCTTTCCTCAGTTAGATATTGGAAAAGTCTTTGGGGGTCTCATTAATCTGCAGATATAGCTGGTATCTATATATGTATGAGTATAATTCAGAGCTTGTTATTCTAAGCACTGAGGACAGAGCTCAGTGATGAAGGGCTTGCCTAGCATACCCAACTCCAACGCTGAAAAACTGAAGAAACAGAAGGTTTTTGTTGACTTGTATATTCTGTGCCATGCTTGCTTGCTTTAGGTCTTCTCTGTTAGAGGGTAATCTACCCTTGATTGCTCTAGCTGTCTGAAGAACTGTCTTTTATTTTCTGTAGTTCTGTGGATAGGCGCCTACTGTTGGTACAGGAAAATTCTCAGTTACTATCTCTTTGGAATGCCTGTGTGCAGGGGCTCTGTGACCTTCATGGGCAGCAAAGAGATGAGCCATGGAAGGCAAGAAGTTAGCCTGTGCTGGTTCAACCTTCAGGAGTCTGACTCTGGTTATTTATTCTAGATGTGTATACTCACAGCATAGTCTGGTGAAAACTGTTCTTGTGACGATGAACTCATTCCCACGTGTTCAAGGCATATCTGAATCTCTGTGGAACAGAGTAAACTAAATGCAGAGCAGATGTGACTGGACCAAGCTTTTTGTAAAGTACCTGTGATGTTTTCCATAAAGACAAGAGAAGGAGATTGACTCAGAAAAGGGTCCGGGAAAGTCTTTGGCCACACCGACTGCAAAAATGTTACCAGGCTAGAAAGCACATCCACCCTAGCCTTCGGGGCAGAAAACAGGATTTGTATTCCTTCCCTTGAAGGAACAACCCTGTGTGCTTAATATTCCTCGTTCCCCTTTTATGTCTGTGAGCTCCTCATTCCACCTAAGCTGAAGAAGTAACTTCATTTCTCCTGTGAGGTGGGACTTCAAAAACAATAGCCAGCTCCTAGTCATCATATAGAGGTCCTACAGTTCAATCCTGAGTTAATACAGACTCACTGGTTAACCTCTCTCCCAGCTGGGCATGGAGGCACACCCCTTTAATCCCAGCACTCCTGAGGCAGAGGCAGACTGTGAATTTGAGGCCAGCCCGGGCTACAAATTGAGTTCCAGGACAGCCAGGGCTGTTACTCAGGGAAACCTTTCTAAACAAACAAACAAACGAAGAACCTCTGTCCCACAAGACTGCTCTAACACCAGACAGCAGCCACAAGTTCTGTGTCTTGTGTCAGACCGCAAGCACAAGTCTGGTGTCTCGACAGCCACCAACTGAGGGCTTCCCACCCATAGAGTCAGTAATTGACCAGAGCAACTCATGTGGAAGGGCTACACAGCAGTGCACCACATAACAATGTTTTGGCCAGGACAAGCCTCAGGTACAAAGCTGCCCATAAAATTAAAACGGAGCTGAAATCCCTTTGCTTAGTAGAGTAACATACAGTATGATGTCTGTAGCCTAGGAATAATAAACTATACCATACAAGCGCACAATAGGTAAACTATCTAGGTTGTGGAAGCACGCTAAATTATGTTGAAACCACCTAGAAACATGTTTTTCAGAATGTGTTCTTGTTGCTAAGCAATGTATGACCATACTTGAGATTTACTATGAAAGCTACAATGGGACTGAAAAATGTAAGAGATGAAGTAGTCAAAGTATGGGGAAGGGTATCCGAAAAGATTGTTAAGGATTTTGCTTAACGAAAAGCCTGAAATGAAAGGCTTATTCGTTAGTATCTATATTGTAGAAATGTCTGCCATTAAATAATTCTTATAACAATTGTAAAAGAAGTACAATTTTAAGCAGCAGAATATTTTAAATTAATATTTGATGATTTTTGCATGTTAGAAATTTAAGACATGGTGGGGATGGCAAGAGGAAGGTGGGGGTGACCAGCATTTAGTGGGTAACGGTTTTTCCCACCAGGCCTGGCCACCGTACATCCATCCCTTTGAACCTATGTGCTGTAAGGCTCCACACCCATAGATCATCCTCTGCCCTCCATGAATTTAAGACACATTAGAAGACTTATCAAACCCTACTTGTTGGGTTTGATCCTGGAGCTACTATGTATTCAAATCTTAATTGCTCAGCCCCCCAAGATCCTTACTATTCTATGAGCAAATTCTCCGGTATCCAAAATGGCATTGGTGAACTATTCAAAGTGTCGTTGATGAACCTTGCCTCTAAAATGATCCCTGATGGCTAATAAAGTTGTCTACAGCCTGAGCTAGGCAGAGGAGAGGTTTGTGGGAGCTAAGGTTCCCAGGCTTTGTGATCGGAGAAGGACCGGGAGGAGGAAGGAGGAAGAAAGGAGCAGGTTGCCATGGGTTATCATGAACTAGAAGCACATGGCCAGGAGGAGCTTGCATTAAGGGCTGGTGTGATGGAGAGAAGCAGCCCAAACGGAAAACATGTGCAAGTATTTGTGAGGGTTTCGGCTGGGAAGTAGACAAGCTAGCTTAGAGGGTTAATACCTGCCCAGCCCCAGTGCATTAGGCTGATGAGAAATCTAACAGGTTTCTGTGTCTACTTACATAAAAGCAGGCTAAGGAATACCTGCCATTTAATAATTTAATATTAAATATTAATTCCAAAATATATTGGTGCCCCATGGTGGGCACTTGGGCACCAACTGTAGAATGATTATTTTTTCCAGGGATCACTGCTCTTCAGGGTTGTGTCCATCCAGTTCTTTCAGAAGTGAGAACACCTGGACCCTGCTCATGAATCACATAAAGAAGTGATGTGGGAGAAGTTCAGCCACCTGCTTGCGGTGGGTAAGGACGACTACCCTGTGAAATTCAGAGTCTTTCCTGGGGACACCTTTCTCCACTGAAAATTATTAAAGTAAGCAGTTGACTTTCTGCTCCCTCAATGGTTTGCGCTGGGATAGAATGGGAGAGTCGAGACAGGCAGCTTCATCTTCTCCATCTTTTTCTCTGTTCCTTTAGTGGCGTCTTTTCCTTGATCACAAGGAAACTGGTCTGATTGCTGGGACAGTGTTGGGCCCGAATCTCGATACCCCACAAGACCACCACCAGGAGCTGAGTCCATTGCAAACCACATGAAGATCTTTTTATTACAAATTACAAGCTGCAGCTTGAGCTCACACCTCCCACCTCCGAAGCGGTGAGAGCCGAGAGCCCTGTGCTCAGGTTAGTTGGGTGATTTAAAGATTCTGGTCCCTCCCAGCATGCCCGAGGCAGGGGCGATTCCTGCCTGGCAAGCATTTTGAATTGATTGGCTATAGGAAGGTCTCCAAACCATTAATGATCTGGTGTCCCTCCCTAGGGGGAATGGGCCAGTTTCCTAGCAACTGTATCTCTAGTGGGTGGGGAAAGAATGTCCTTCCCCTCAGGGCATTACTGGACCTCACCCGGCTAGTTCAGGCCTTAACCTTTAATAATAACGGCTGATTTTTAATCTTCTGGTCTCTCAACAGCATGGCTTGATCATGTCCCATATCTTTTCTTGTGCACGGGCCTTAAACAAACTGTGATCTCCTTATTGGAACAAGGGAAAGAGTCCTGGCAGAGAGGTAAGCAGGGCCCTCTTTTCAGGTAAGCAAGGGATTGAAAGATCCCCGGAGGGTATCTTCCGTCAGAGAGACCCCCTCCCAAGGAACAACGAGTCCATTCGGATGCAAACAGCAAGAGGTGTATCAGGTACTCGGGGCGAAAGTCACTCGAAAGGACTTTGCGCGCCCCCTAGATGGGAAGCTGGGGTTTTTATAGGGTTTTAGAGCAGAAGCACTGGTACCTTTAAGTCTTTAAGTCTATCTCTAGAAGCCAACCAAAGGAAATTAAATCTCAACCTGGTGACTGAATAATAAGCAGTCAGTGTTTTATCAACTTATCAGAACTCTTGATTAATGTCAAAACTCTGAATTTTTGAAATCTTATAACATAAGCACAACAGTAGCAAAGAGGGGGGAGAGATCTAAAGTATCTCTCATTTTTAACATGTTTTAAACTATTTTTATTAATTTAGACACTCTAATTTTTTTATTTATCAACCCTGAAACATTTTATCAGACCAAATAACAACATTTTAGATTTTATAACCTAAACTCTTATATCTTTAGACTCTATATAGGCTCTGTATTATTTTTTTAATCCAGCTATATCTTTAGACACAGATGACTAACATGAATTTTGTGAGCAGGGCAAACCTGTCTTTTTTTTTTTTTTTAAATAAGAGATCTAGTATCTAGTAGTTCTAGCTAATGAACTGATCAATGAACTAACAGTGGATCTAATTGTCTTCTCTCTAGCTGTAAAGCTACCGTAAGCTTAGCATAGCCATCAAGGTGTTCAGAGACCTGAGAAGGATAAATTATAAGCTATATAAATATATCAATCTATGTGTTTATCAAAATGACAGAGATGACTACTTAGTCCATCACCTAGGCAGTGTCCCTCGCTCTTGTCTCATGGCATCCTGAACAGAGGCTGTCCAGCCAGGCACAGAAGGTGAGAGACTGCTTTTACTGCTTTTGTGGAAAGAGGAACAGAAGAGATTGACCTCACCTTGCCTCTCACAATGTGAGACAATGGCTCCTCAGATGTCCCCGGCTTTGTCCACAGCTTAGGCTGGGCCCTAGCAGTGGGCCAGTTGAGGCAATATTGCCCAGTGGTTAGCATACCACAATCCAGAGTCGCAGTCATCTGTCGTTGTGTCCAAATCTTCTCGGAGACCTTGGGGGAGCTACTGCCAGGATTACAGGACTTTCTGTCACAATAAGCTTACACAGTTAAAATGCCATATTCATCAGATCTCTGACAAGCCTGAGGGCCAGCATATCTGAGTTATCTGTTTGTCTATCTTTATTATCTGTTTTAAACTATGTAAAAGAAAAACTAAACAAAGACACTAGGTATAGCCAACTGTAGTTGTTAGTATAACTTTAAATCTGCTCTTTCTGAACTAAAATCAAAGCAAATCTTTTAATCAGATACAGTTTATAGAGAGCCTAGCAAATCTTGTTGATCCTATCACTTGCATTAAAATTGAACAGTAAAAAGCTTTGCATTTAGCACTAATCAGATGACTGAACATAACTGAGATACCTGAACAAAAATGATCACAATCTCATGGCTCCACCCTTTTTCTCTCTGGACTAGCATGGCGGCTGACCACGTATAACTGAACTCAGCTGGAAGCCCTAAACAGATATGGCAGCAAAAATACAGTTTTACATGTTCTCTATCTCTGAAAGATCATGGCGGCTAGCCTCGTGTTAGGCTACCACAGGCTGTGACTGACAATACCAAACATAGCTATAGCTATTAGGTGCTGATGATGATATAGTAAACATTGTGGAGCATTTACAATCCCCTATAACCAACATTTTTAACTTAGTGATTAAATAAGTTTTAGAACCAACTGTATAACAGAACAGTACAGAACAATTTTAAACTGTATGAATTATTTTAGCCATATCAAACCTATCAGCCAGAATTTTTTCCCTCAAAGAGCATAAGAAAACATTTTGTAATGAGGAATCACCAGCCTTTAAAATGAACTATAACATATTTAAAATACAGTTTTTTCAAATCATATTAACTCTCTGGCTTTTTATAATACATCCACTAACCTTCTGCAACATCCTATATACCTTCAGGTTTCTAGCTTCCTTTTTCTGGCTTAACCAGACATTCTTTTTCTCTCTCTTGCTTTTTAGACAACATATAAACTCTCATCAAAATCCTTTTCATCTTAACATGATCCTGTTGGAACATGTTTTTCCATAAACAAAGCAGCTTAACATACAAACAGCTCTCCATAAGATACATTCTAAAAACTGTAATAATTTTTTTTAATTAGCACAAATCATACGGCTGGGTTTTATTTAATAAAATTGATAAAATAAATATCAAAGTATTTTTATTTTTTTTTAAAGGATCGAGAAACTTTTAAATTTTGTCAGATTACCCAAGATCATTGTCATACCCAAATGCCTGATAAACTTTAAATATTTTATTTTATAGCCTTAAACATTTAAACAATTTTTTTAAACTCGTCCCTGTAATATCAAAGCAAAGTATTTTCTTTAGAAGTGAATTCACAAAGCATAACCATAATTTTAAAGTCAAAATCAGATAAAAGTTTAAACCAGATTTTAAGACCAAAATTTATCAGTGAAAACAACCCAATCTTTAGAACCAATATCAACTTAGAACAAGACTTTTTTTATCTTAAAAGGAAATAAAATCATTTTGACTCAGAGATTCTGTAACCTTTGTTTTTTTCCTGAGCCACACCATGTGGCAATTTATATTGTTGTTATTTAAACATATGTATTTATAGACCCTATAAACACATAGGCACATATACGTGTTTTAAACAAGGATTTGAATTTAACCTTAAAATATACCCAATTATTTTTGATCATATCAACCATTTAAAACCAATTGAAAACAATCATCTTAAATTATTGTTTGATCTGTAAGTTGTAAGCCCCCTAGGTGGGAGGAGGGAAGAGAGGAGCAAGAGGGCGTTTTGAGCTCCTGTTGCTCTCTTTCCCCCTCCCTGTTGAGCTGGCATGAAGGCAAGGGGGAGGAGTTTTTCTTCACTCTCGGCAGCCAGAGCAGCTCCTGTCGTGGAGCAGCTATGGTGCCAATCCCCTCCTAGCCTTGTATAAGGACTTTTACCTAGCAAGCCCACGAGCCTTGCCTGCTCCCTTGGCTCTCTGTGAGCTTCACTCTAGCTTACCTCCCCTGCAGGTCATGAACCTGCTTCCTGGCCGGGCCCCTCCTGAACACTGCAGGCAGCTCCCGGGGTGTCCAGCCGCAAGCCCCACCTCCCCTCCGAGCTCGGGGCTGCAGAGCCCGTGTCCTGCTGGGTGTACATTGTTATTCCACAGACCCCCAAGTGTCCGAGCACCCCCCGCCCAAGCTCCAGCTCCACGTCTCCCCAGCCGCCTCCCTCCTCGGCTCCCTCGGGAGGGAGTGCACACTGCTTGGTTTCCTGTCATGCAACCGTGTGCACTCCCGGGCTGAGAACTAGTTCTAATTTTAACTGTCCTCTGTCCAAATTTTTATCAGTCCAAGTCTACAAAGAAACAGACACAGGAAAATACATACATACATGAGAAACACAGGATTTAAACAGACAGAACACGACACAAGCCGCGCGGCACGAGATCAAAGCAAAACTGAAAGCAAAAATTCAGATGGAGACTGTGTTGGAGATCCGGTTTCTTCGTCTCCCAGATGAAACACGCAACCCTCCGAGAGGGGCGAGGCCCCAATCCGGTGCCACGGATCCGTGTCTCCCAGACGGGGAGCCAAAAAATTGGCCCCCACTCAGATGAGAGTCGGTGGGACTCGAACCCACTCAGACCCTCCAGATGAGGGCCAGTGGGACTCGAACCCACTCAGACCCTCTCAGACACCCTGGAATGTCTTCCAGAGATGCGGAACAGAAGTCCAGATTCGTCAACCCCTTCTTACTTTCCGCCTGATTCAGATGACTTGATCAAGTCTCAGATTGCAAACAAAACAGACACAGAAGCACACAACAGACAAGACAGATACATACAACAGAAAAGACGGCTGGCCAGCTTACCTCCCGAAGGTGGGTCGGTGGTCCCTGGGTGGGGAGTCTCAGATCTCGCTGGGGCCTCCAAATGAAAGATCCCCGGAGGGTATCTTCCGTCAGAGAGACTCCCTCCCAAGGAACAATGAGTCCATTCGGATGCAAACAGCAAGAGGCTTTTATTTTGATACACGGGTACTTGGGGCGAAAGTCACTCGAAAGGACTTTGCGCGCCCCCTAGATGGGAAGCTGGGGTTTTTATAGGATTTTAGAGCAGAAGCACTGGTACAGATGCGAGAAGCATGGTTACAGGGGGCTGATTGGTACGTTTACATGAGACCACGGTTTGCGTCAAAGTTTGGCAGGGACACCAAGATTGACCACCCCTTAACGTGGCCACCTGTTATTTTGTTTTTCCCTATCTCAGCTGGAACAACCTCTGTCAGATATCCCATGAGGGTAGTCACAACAAGTTGTTTTTAACTCAACAGGGGCAGCCTGACCACAGATATCCCAAGTGGGTGACACAGCTAGGTTTTCTCAGTAATTTTCCAGTTTCTCATCTGGCCTTTAGAGTTTTACAAAACAGTGGTGTCTCACAAAATGGCGTTAGCTATGTTTAACTTAGGGTGAGGCAGGGGTCTTTCAGGATGACAGGGACCAAGACCTTTATTTCCAAAACAGCTATTTGGTCTACATTTTGAAGCATATGCCACATTTCTAGTTGTATATCACTGACTATTCCCACCCTAAAATGTGTGTGTCTTTGTGTGTATGTGTTTGTGTACATGTGTATATTTTCCTTTCCCTGTGCTAGTTTTTGTTTCATACACTGTCTGATTAACATTTTTCCATAATCTTGCGCATTTTTAACAGTTCATTTTTTTATTTTAAAAAATAAGACTCAAGGCTGGGGCAGTAGCTCAGGTGGTAGGGTGATTCTGGGAAGCAGGAGGACTTGAGTTGGAGCCTCCTAATCCACAGACAGTGCTGGGCATGGTGGCACTCACTTGTGATCCCAGCCCTGGAGAAGCAGGGACTGGTGCTCCCTGGGGCTTGATGGCCAGCCAGCCTAGACTAAGCATTGAGTGCCAAGGCTAATGAGAGAGCCTGTCTCAGAAATACAGTAGATACTAAGGCTGATATCTGAGGCTAACCTTTGGCCTCTGTACATGTGTGAGCACACACACGTATACACACACACACCAAAAACAAAACAAAAACAAAAAAAACCAAACATTTTTACTTAAAATTTTTTAAATTTTAAGCCAGGCATGCATAGCAGGGCATGCCTTTAATCCCAGCTCTCAGGAAGCAGAGATAGGCAGATCTTTGTGTGTTGAAGGCCAGTCCCTTCTACGTAGTGAGTTCCAGGCTAGTCAGGACTATATAGTAAGTCTGTTTAAAAGAACTAAATATAATATATATTCAGAAAATGAAGTGATGGTGAGCTGTCCCCAAATGAACTATTCATTAAACTGTATCGTACATGAAAACTTCTCTTTATAACAGTCTTATTATCTTATGTATGTGTGTATGTTTGTGTACATATATGTGCACCACATGTGTGCAGGTACTTGTGGAGGCCAGAGAGAGAACGAGGATGTCAGACACTCAGGAGCTGGAGCTCCAGATGACTGTGAGCCACCTGATGTGTTGGGAATTGAACTCAGGACTTCTGGAAGAGCAGCCAGCGCTCTTAACGGCAGAGCACCCCACCCCCAATATGGTTTTTCAAGGCAGGGTTTCTCTGTGTAGCCCTTCCTGTTCTGGAACTCGCTCTGTAGATCACGCTGGCTTCAACTCAAATCCACCTGCCTCTGCCTCCCTGAGTGCTGGGCTGGGATTAAAGGTGTGCACCACCACTACCCAGCTCCCACTCCCTTCAAAATGACATCCTCATGACTAGCAGACAATTACCTGGCCCAGGACTACTCCAGAAACTTGAAAAAAGAAAAGGACCTATTTTAACCAGGTGTGCTGACACATACAGATAGTCCTACCACTGGGAAATAAGCAATCCCTGTCTCAAAAACAAAACAAAACAAAAACCAGGCTATTCTCTTCTCTGTTTGCAGTGTGCTAATGTCTCTTTGTCAGTACTGATTCTACATCTCTTCTCCAAACCCTTTTGCTTTTGCTTTTGTTTTGTTGTTGTTTTGTTCTTCGATACAGGGTTTCTCTGTGTAGTCCTGGCTGTCCTGGACTCAATCTGAAGACCAGGCTGTCCTCGAACTCACAGAGATTCGTGTGCTGCCCTCTCCATACCCTCTTCTTACTTCCCTCCTTCTGTCCATGTGGGAAAGCCTCTCACAGAGTGTTCATTTTTCTCTCTGCCTCTGTTTTAATGTCTGTTACTGCTAGATAGAAGTTATTATGCATTCTGTATTAATGCCTAGATAGCTCTCAAATATCTCTAAGCAGTTTGTAAAACTGATAAGAAAAGCAGACATTAAAAAAGGCTGATAGGAGGCTGGAGAGATGGCTTAGTGGTTAAGAGCACCAGCTGCTCTTCCAGAGGACCCGGGTTCAATCCTCAGCACTCACGTGGCAGCTCACAACTGTCTGTTGCCGTTCTAGGGGATCCCACACCAATGCAAATAAAATAAAAATAATTTCTTAAAAGTGCTGATGGGGCCAGTGTGGTGGTACATGTCTTTAATCCCAGCCCTCGGGAGGCAGAGGCAGGCGGATCTTTGTGATTCAAGGCCAGCGTGGTCTACAGAGCGCGTTCTAGGATAGTCAGAGCTGTTGCACAGAGAAACCCTGTCTCAACCCCCCGACCCGCTCAAAAAGCTGATGAAGGGAGATGAGGTGATCAAGCAAGTACATGGTCATGGGTTTAGTGCAGACAAACGTGTTAATTATTGTTAATAATTGTTAAATTCATGGCCAAAAGCTATAGAGGTTATATCCAAACACGGTTTCTCTAACATATTCGTGTTCTCCATAAAGACATCACAGTCTTATGCTCAGGAGGGCTATGAGCACCTCAGCACTGTGTTTGGGCACCATTTTGTATATTTGTTTTTGTGGTGCGGGACTGAACTAAGAGTCTTTCCTTGCTAGGTAATCCCTCTGCCACTGAGTTACCTGATAAAATGTGTGACGTGAATGCTTTCATATAGTTACCACTGAGGACAAGAAAACAGTTAGCATCAGAGCAGACTCCCAGAGCTCACTTCACACATTTACCGTGCTGCGTGAGATAAGATGGAGAGCCCATCGCTTTCATAAAGTGACTCCAGCTCCTGAGTGTCTCACACTGTCCTCCCCTCTTGTAACCTCCGCAAGCACCTGCTCACATGTGGTGTGCCTCCATATGCGCGCACACACACACACACAGGAATATACATTTTTTAAAGGATAGTTTTCAGGTGAGATGCAGTTTAGTGAATGGTTCATTTAAGGGTACCTTATGGCATTTATTGGGGTTTTGTCTCCGAGCTAAGAATAGATAGATAGGGCGGCACAATCCGATATACATTGTCAGCAGGGGAGAGAAGGGACATGTTGTTACTTTTATAGAAAGGGAATTAGGGATTTACAAACTATCCGTTTCCTGTCCCCAGGAGAGTCCCTTTCCACTTCACTATTATTTAGCTTATTCCTCCTGGCCCGTTTTCAGAATTTAACTTGCCTTTTTATTTTCCTTCAGCCCGTAATCAGCGTGTGAAACCAAGAGACTGTCACTAAAGAGCGGTGTCTCAATCAAGTCACACCTCCAACATGCCCGGTTTTATTCAGCCTGCATTTCTTACTCTACACCAGAAAAATGAACAAAAAAAAAAAAAAAAAAAGAAGAAGAAGAAGAAGAGAAACCGTATGAATGTAAGACGTATGGGAAGACTTTTAATCAGAACTTAGAGATAATTCAACACCAGGGTATTGTTCTGGTGAAAAACCCTACGAATGTTAGTGTGGGAAAGCCTTTCATCGGGGCTGGCTTGTTACTCCATCAGCAGGTTCATATTGGTTAAAAAAGAAAACTAATGAATGTAAGGAGCATGGCAAGACTTTAGTTGTAGTTCATATTTTTACCAACACCAAAGTTCACACTGGTGAGAAACCCTCTGAATGTAAGGAATGTGGAAAAGCCCTTGATTACTGCTCAAACCTTAATGACCATCAGAGGATTCATATGGGTGAGAAACTGTGGCTGTAAAGTCTGTGGAAAAGCCTTCACTAAAAGTTCACAACCTTTTCCACATCTGAGAATTCATGGGCCTTATTCAGCACCACAGCTGCACACTGTGAGAAACCCTCTAAATGTAAGGAGTGTGGAAAAGTCTTCAGTAGTGCCTCAGCACTCGCTAATCATCATCACTCATTCCACCAAGAAATGTGAATGGAGAGAATGTGGAAAGACCTTTTAGAGCTCAGCACTCAACATCAGAGAAGCTGCACAGATGAAAGACCAATGAATGCAGTGAATGTGGGAAGGCCTTAATAAAGGTTCAAATTTCACTCAACGTCAGGGAGTTCACACTGCTGAGAAACCTTATTATTGTGAGGAGTGTGAAAAAGCCTTTGGTAGTTGTTCAGACCTCATTCATCATGAGGGAATTCACGTGAGGTGAACAGGAAGTAAGACACCTGTTAGCCTTTAATATTTTTCAGGTAAGGAAAGCAGTCTAGGAAATGCAGGTCTTCTGTGCCTACTGTAACAAAGAACAAAGTAACAAAGTTTGGTTTCCTGAGAAAACAGAATTTTTTATTTGTTTGTTTCTCTATGTAGCCCCAGCTATCCTAGAACTCACTGGGTAGACCAGACTGACCTTGAACTCTCAGAGATCTAACTGCCTTTACCTCCTGAGAGCTGGGCTTGAAGGTGTGTGCCACCATTGCCTAGCAAAAACAACAGAAATTTATAATCACATTTTTGGAGCCTGAAATCCCAAGAAGGTGCTGGCAAGGGTAGCTCCTTCCGAGAAGTCGGCAAATATTTTCTGTGCTGCTTCTATTAGAAGGCAGGAGGTTTTGGGGCCCTCAGATAAGCACCAGGGAAATCCGTAATTTTAAACATGGAGGCTTGTCTCTCCAACAGGGGATAGGTTTACTGGTCTCCACCTGGAAAGCTGAAAATGGTTGTAATTTTAACTTGTTGATCCTTGTTACCTGCAGGGTCAGGCCTCACCAGAACCCCCCAGACGAGCGTGTTTGGTCATCCCAAACTCTTCCTCCCTAGATCTTGAGCATTGTGTCAAAAAAACCCTGTCCTCGTGGGGGATGCCCCCGATACAACAGCCTAGGTAACTTCCTTGTCATCTGTAGGGCCAGGGAGACTGTTATTCTCCCTAGACCCTTGTCTTGAGCAGTGTTTCTAAGTAAACAAAACCCATCTTCATGGACTTTGTACAGTTTCGATGTAAACATGTCTGAAGCTTTGTTAGACACACAAATTGTCCAGTGTCAGACTAGAAGTTTGAACCAGCACCGGCTTCTGCATCCTGTTGAGCCAGATTTTCTTCTTGCCTCATGCGGATCATTACTCCGCCTGGTGTTTGCAGAGTCCCACACTGTTCGTTTCTGTAACAGTCATCATTTTGTAGACACACCATTCCAGTCTCTGCCTTTATCTCTGCATTACATTCCTTCTGAGTATCTTCTTTCATGCGGATTACCATCACACTGGATTAGGGGCTCTTAACTTTATCTGAAAAAACAAAAAACAAAACAAAACAAAATTTTATTTCCATGACAAATCATACCAGGAGTTAAGGTTTTATCATATCTTTTTGGGAAGCGCACTGAGGCTAAGGAGAGTAACACAGTTCAAAACTATAATATCCTATCAATACTATTTTATTTAATGTATTTATAATTTTCTCCTATATACAACTTAATTAAATGTATTTTAAAACTCTATCCTTCCCCAAGAAGGAAAGATTTTTATCCCAAAACTACATAAATTACCCTCAATTTCAATGCCTTTTTCTCTTTTTTTTACTTTAAAAACATCTTTTTTAAAGTTTTTTAAAATTCAACTTTTTTTATGTGTATGTGTGTGTCCTATAACCATTTGTGCCACATGTGTGCAGGTATGCATAGAGGCCAAAAGAGTGTGTCAGATTGCCCTGGGACTGGAGTTACCAGTGGTTTGGAGTGTTCTGACGTGGGTGCAAGAACTCTTAACCACTGAGATATGGTTGGGCTCCTGTTTTTCTTCCTGTACCAAGCTCCTGGAGCAATGACTCATGAGACTCAAAATACTTTACGAATACCTAGGTCATACAGCTAGGCTCTTCTCTGACTAACTCATAACTTAAAATAACCCATTCTAATCTACATTCTGCCACGTGGCTGGTCATCTGTGCTCAGATACCATGCATCTGTTCTCTTACATGTGTTCCTGGGTGAATCTCCCACACCTGGCACTATCCCAGAATCCTTTCTGCCTATCAGATGTCCCACTTCCTATTTTTTGCCTCAGCCATGGGCCATTAGCCTTTTATTGACAGGTGATGCTCCCATACAGACACAAGAGATTCCTTCTACAGAGAGATATCTCTCCAGGCCCTTAAAAATTATATTCCGATGTGTAAGTAACATTTTCTTTCTATAAAATATTAACAGGTAGTACTCATTGCAATTTACAGTATACTCAATAAAATTCTTCTTCCTAAAGAAAAAAGTATTATCAATAGCTTTCCAACCCTCACTATAATCCTTGCTATCAGTGTGTTTCATTACAGACTCCTATTACTATAATTGCATACATAAACACACAGAGAAAAGGAACTTTTATTTTCCTGAGGTAATTGTCTTGGAGGCTTATTGCCTCTGTCTACTAACCCAGGCCTAGTCCTGGATGCTTCTAGCACCATAAAATCTAACCTAGCCCTAGAATGTTTCACCCTCTGAGACTTACTGCTGAATAAGCTCACCCTTTCTTGTTCTTACTGAGCTCTTAGCTAGCCGGTTCAACTCAGCTGTTCTGACTCAAACTCTTCTCCCTGCTAACTTATTCAATCTGGATTTTCTCTCACCACTGAATTGTTTTACTTGGCCTCCAACTAATTCAAGCAATCTTTTCTAATCTTGCGGCTTCCCGTTCTCTGGCTCATTTCTGAGCTGTCTTCACCTGAGATTACTGTCCCAGTAAAACTGCCCTTCTCCCTCTGCATTGCCCCATAAATAGCCTCCCTTTCCTCTCTCTTCTCATGAGAGTTGGGTGTGTCCTATCCTGTCAAATCTTCTCTTGATTTGTCGCCTTTTCTGCCAGTCAATTAGACATCACTTCAAACATGCGTGCTTCCTCTTACAAACTAACTACTTTCATTGTTTGGGACTAAAGGCATGTACCACCACACCAGGACCCATGCTTTTCTTTACCTGAAACTTCCTCTATGCCAGGCTGGCCTTGAGCTCGGATCTGCTTGCCTCCTGGATTAAAGGTCAGTTTGTATTCCAGCTAAATCACACAGACCTAGAAGATCTTTGGATATTATCTCTTGCCAGCTGGATTACACAGATTTAGGCCTTTGGATGTGATCTCTTGCCAGAACAGCCAAGTTCTGAATTAAAATTCCTACACACACACACACACACACACACACACACACACACACACACACGGCTGTTTTACATATGTATATAAATATACAATGTGCATTGAAAGGATTAAATGATCTAAGAAATGTAAAATCTTGGGATAGTTTCTAACATATTAGTATCTACATGGATATACTCTGATACTAATATCTTTTTGTCTTACTTTGTTTTTAAGATATTTTATGTTTATGAGAGCTTTGCCTGCATGTATGTGTGTGCACCGTTGTGCATGCCTGGTGCCCTTAGGGGTAAAGCAAAGGTGTAACATCCTCTGGTGGAGTTAAGGATGTATATGAGCTATGTGGGTGTTGGGAGCTGAACCCAGGTCCTCCACAGAAGCAGCAGGTGTTCGTCACTGCTGAGCCATCCCTCCAGCCCAATAATAGTGTCTCATCACTGTTAGTGGAAAAGATTTTAACAATATTGAAACCCATAGTTGACAGCAGAGTTCATGGCAAAGGCCAGTGAATGTGCTTTTATAAATGTTTCTCACTGTGGAAATGTAGCTGGTCTTTGCTACTTTGTGGGTTCTTCTTCTTCCCACCATTTGTTGCCCTGGTTTCACCCCCTAACACTAGATAGGAGAGAAAGAATAGAAGGGGAAAGAGAGAAATTCATGAATCTAATTTCTTTCCCAACCATTCCTCCCAGTTTCCAGCCTAGCCCCTTCAAACGTTTCTCCCAACCTTTCCTCCCTCAGTCCCCAGCAAGCTGCTTAAACAGCGCGTCCTCCCAATTTTCTCAGTACTCTCATCTCCAAACTCTAACAACTATTCTAGCCTATCGTTAAGATATGTTATAATTTAGGGGACCTTTTCCAATCATCTCTTCTAACTCCCAGATAAATGACGCGAGACCTATTAGGTTTATAAGTAAGGTTCAGGCTCTGTAACTGGGCAGATATGATCTACTCTAACCCTCCATGCTAGTCTGACTACTTCCCAGCTATATGTCCCAAATTACTTGCCATATCTTTCCTGTCTAGGCTGTGTCTGCTCCATCAACACATCCTTTCTCTACCTCTTCTCCTTCTCCTCCTCCCTCGTGGTCTCTACCCTGAGACCCCTCACTGGATCGGAAGTCCAGCCTTTCTATCTCTCCTGCATGGTAAATGGCTGTTTAGCCTCTTTATAAACCAACCGTAGATATTTGGGGAGCAAATTTTACACAACATTGATCAGTGTACATGGTAGTGTCCAGGTCTGGACTATAGCCATATCTCGGGCCCAGAATTCAGCTTCTAAACACACACACACCAGACCATCCCCCAGCAGCCTGTCTGCTCAGGTCTGCTGCTCCTGGCTCAACTGCCTTCTCTCATTCTACTAGCCCAATCCTGCACCAACTGTACCTTTGATATAGGGAAACAGTAACAGCTGCGCAATCCTGTTACCTGTGTTCAATTGCGTATCTTCTTTTTATATAAGCCATTATTTTAATTTCTCCTTAGAAATCTTCATGCACAATGAATCCTTGAGAAGTCAAACTGCTCCTTCTCAAGACCATTCCTACTGTCCATGAGAGCAAAGGACGGACCATAAGCTTCAACAGTTATTTTATAACATTGAATTTGAGGGGCAGTGTAAGATGTTTATGTCCAGTCTGGAGCAGCACTACCTACTGTAGTGTGTGTTAGAACTGGAACGCCTGGCTGAGGTTTTTTGGCCTGCTTGTTATTTCCTGGCTGACAAGAGGCAAGCGGATTGTGCTTTTAGCTGTGGGGCCTTGAGCTGGGCTTCCTTTCTTATTTCCTGATGGCAAGAAACTGCCTTGGATATCTCTCTTGTTCCGGCACTCACTGGCCCAGTGGCAACCCTTGCCACATCCCTACACATCCTTGGAATTCTAGGCCTTCTTTCTGATTTATATCTAGAAAAACATTGCCCCTAGAGATGCCTTGTTCACAATTTTGTTTCAAATGACCATATTTCTCACACTTACAGCACCGAACTCTTTGAGATCTGAGACCTTCGGTGGCTTGGTCACAATCTCTTTGCGAAAGACTGTAATTCGGCAATTGAAAGCCAGGCGTTTTAATATGAGAGACCTCTAGCTATAGTTTAACCTATGATATCATCATGGTATACATTAGAACCAATATCGGTTATCTCCCCTTCGCTTTCATGCATGGGTGCTGCCCAGGCCTGTAATAGTTTAACAGCTTCTTTACATTCAGGATTTGCACTTTCAAATGCCTTGCATCAGGGTCCAATATGACATTGTTCACTGCTGCAACCAAGTTTTGCAAAACAAAACAAAAAACAAAACACAAAAAAATCCATGAAGTCTTCTGCAGAGCCCTGTATAACTTTATAAATGATGTGAACTCCTTTCCTAGATCTTCAGCTTTGTCCCAGACTCTTAGAGCTGCTAAACAACGCTGTTCTTTGGTTGCATCTTCTTGAACCTGTTCTTGTATATCCGCATACCAACCTTCACCTATCAACTGGTCTCTCACTATATTAATTCCCCTTGTTCTATTGTGCCGTGCCAAATTTCTGGTTTCTTCTCTCCACCATGACAGTCATTGCAGTCGGGGACCGGCTTCTCGTGAAGCTGCTACCAATCCCCTCCAGTCTTGGGGAACACTTCTATTTTGAGTAGCCCGGTTATTTAGACTTTGTTTCACGAGGGTGAGTACACCCCATAAGACATTGCCTCTTTAAAATGCCTTCGGTCTGTCATTTCTGTAGGGCACCAAGCTATTTCGTCATAACCTTGTAGGGTTATTTCCGTTAAGTGTTGTAACCTGCTTAAATGCTATAGCCCTGCTGTTCAGACCTACTTTATTAGCTTAAACTATGGCTCCTCTGGTAATACCTGCTGTAGCCTTTAGCATTTCAGAAGCCATTTTGCCTCCAAGTCTCCATTTTGATTATGTCTCTATGGTTTCATTTCTCAAACTTTGTTTACTTAGTTACCTGGGCACTCAATGAAGTCCCCCAACTGCAGAACCAATCAAATTAAAGGTCAGTTAGAAACGCTTTGTCTAGCTGGTCAAAATTATATAATGTTGCTTCCTACCCCTGGATACTTGGTTGCATTTCATTTTTGTACCTGGTTGTTACCTGGTTGCATTTGTTTCCTACACCTGGTTACAGTTTTGTTACCTGGTTGCTACTGGTTAGTCTTTTTGTTAAAAAACAAAACAAAAAAAAAAAAAAAAAAAACAAAAAACCCTGCCTTAGGAGCAGACCAACGTGATGCTCTGGCTCCCGAGTCCAGATTCCTGCCCTGGCAAGTCAGTTCTCCTTTAGCGTTCAGTACCTCTGAGCTCAGCCTGGCGTCTGAGTGGCCAGTGAACGGCTGTCCCGAACCTGTAACGTTAGCAGGCGTATGTTGGTGTCCTGGGAATGCTGATGATTCTGTGACCCAGAATTGCCTGTCCCCAAAAGTGCTGTGGTTCTACCCCGCTTCATCTGACCATCCTCCTGCTTTCTTCATTTCTTTGAGTTGACTGCCCTTTGACGCAGTTCCTTCCCGTCTTGCTACATGGGGAAAACTCCCTCTCTGGTTCAGTCACTGGCAATTAACCTATTTGTTCTTCCTTTTTTTTTTTTTTTTTTTTTTTTTTTTTTTTTTTTTTTTTTTTTTTTGATGTTTTTATTCCATTTTATTTATTCCCAAATTGTGGAGAGCTGCTTGTTTGTCAAACTGCTCAACAAAGCAGCAAAAAACATGTTTTCACCCTGGCCTTTACCTTGCGACAGAGATAACAGGATGTTCCTTAAAACTTGCTTGTGTGACCTTGGACCATATCTGCTCTAGGGAAGTAGTTTTAGAAAACAAGTTTGGCAGTTCCACAAACTTCCTTCTTGTATTGATGTGACTTGTTTTTGTTTTGCCTGTAAAAAGGAACTGTGGAATTAACTCACACTGCAGTCCTACTGAGAGCCCTCTCGAGCTGACACCGTGTGTGGTGTGACTTTGCTTTAATTATTTCAGTCCTCACTTCCCACTCAGGAACTGTTTGATTCTGCTGGAGGGCTCTGGCACCAAGTTTCTCTATTTCACCAGTATTTTTTCCAGTTGCTCAGCCAGTCTTTCAACCTTTTTATAAACAGAGTAGCCCACAAAGAGGAAAGGGTGGGGGACAAAAAAAAAAACCCTGCAGGACATGTCCCAACAACAGCCTCAGCAAACACCCTGTCGGCTTTTTGAAACAAAGTATTTCCTTCCTTTTCCTGCCTTTTGCTCTACTTGAAATCAAACCTCCCATTCTGCCTAGCCTGCCAGTTGAGTGCTGCTTGTAAAATGTGAACTTTTCTTTTCTTTTAATGTTCATTTTCCCTGCAAACAGCCCCAGGTTGGGTGCCACTTGTAAAATGTGTTTGCAACTTTATGGGGGTTTTTTCCCCACCCGTTATCCCCCTGGTTTTACTCCCAGTGTTAACTGGTAGGAGAGAGAGGAGTGTGGGGGGGTCCTGAATCTAATTTCTTTCTTGACTTTTCCTTCCAGTTTTCAGCCCAGCCCCTTCAAACGTTTCCTCCAACTGTTAGGATTGTGCATCAGAGTTACAGGGCAGGTTCACAAATCACTCTGGGAGACTGGTTCCGTGTGGGAGGTTTATTAAGGGCAGGGGGAAGGGGAAGGGAAGGGGGACTGGATCACAGAGACCGTCTCTGGGCAGGGCAGGTGAGAAACAGAAAAAGAGGGAGGAGGGGCTTCAAGTTCTCTTATAAGGTGACCCCAGAGCTTTTGTAGGTGGTTTCAGGTGGTTCGTTTGCGCTTCACAGATGCCTGATAATCTGATTTGTCAGGTCCCTTGGGCTTGACCATAGAGATGCCTGTTTACGGATTCCAACACCAACCATTCCTCCCTCAGTTCCCCAGCAGCTTGCTTAAACAGCCTCTTCTCCCAGTTTTCCCAATAGCAGCAGCTCCAAACTGTAACAGCTGTTCTAGCCCATCAGCTCAGCTCTGCTTCTCCTGGCTCAGCTGTCTCCTAACAATATCTCTGCACCAGCTACCTTATCTCACTCTGCTAGCTCCCCTCTCTCAGCCTCAGCTGGCTTTTTTTTTTTTTTAATCCAGCACTGAAGGTCAAGCAGTTCTTCTAAAAGCTAACAATTCCTAAAGGACTGGTAGACTAGCAACCAGGGATCCATTAAAGAGCAAGGCACACAAGATAAATCACACTACATAGAAAAGATGCTGCTAAAAGCTGTGGCCTACATCTAATATCTTTCAGTTATCAGAAAGAGGAACCTTACAACAAGTCATACTGGTAGGTTGTAGGACATACTGGGAAACACTGGAAGAGGTGTGGACAGCTCAAAATTGTCTTCCTGGTGGTAGAAAACAGGTATAATGATGGGGCTCATGGTTCTACTGTAAGCACAAATCTTATGAGTTATTATAACACTGAATACTGTCCAATACTCATTTGGAGGTCTAATTTTTGGGATAACCTGTTTTTCAGCAGATGTATGCTAGCATCCCAGGCACATGCCCTGTTAGGGTACTTGCACTTCCTGGATGGCAGGGGTGGCTCCATTTTGTTTCTCAGACTCTATCTTAAGTTGATTGTCCTTGGAGTGACTTGACCACCACCTTTGGGTTCCAAATACCACCTGCAGGTTGTCTCCAATACCACCGAATGTGTAAATAGATAACTATGATCAGGCCTCCACCCAGCAGGCTATTGTACAGATATTTTAGATATCTTTCAGTTTGGCCAGGTGGCTTGGAACAATTAGCCCACCCACCCAAAACCTACCCTTCCCTGTAATGCCAAGGCTGGGAATTCTCCGCTTGCCATTGTTTTCCTTTAAAAACTCTGCCCCCTGAGACCCGGGGCCTCACTTTCTAACCTGCTGCATCAGGGAAGATTGGCGGCCCGAGCTTAAGCTTGAATAAAGATCCTCATGTGATTTGCAATGGACTCGACTCCTAGTGGTCTTTTGGGGTCTCTCGAATCGGGCACAACACTGGTCCTTCTGGAACTGTTTGCTTCTAGACAGTTGCATCATTAGATCCTTAGTTTGATATTCAACACGCACATGGTGCCTCACAACCGTATGTGGACGTAACACCTTCTTCTGACCTAAATGGGCATCGCTAATGCCTATGATGTATAGACACATGCAGGCAAAACACCCATATACATAACACAAATAAAAACTTAAAAAAAGGGGGCTGGAGAGACGGCTCAGAGGTTAAGAACACTTGCTGTTCTTCTGAAGGTCCTAAGTTCAATTCCCAGTCAACCACATGGTGGCTCAGAACCATCTATAGTAAGATCTGGCGTGCAGGCAGAATGTTGTATAAATAATAAATAAATCTTTAAAAAAAATTGTAAGCCAAATGGTTATCTATATTCATCTTCCCCACCAAGATAGTGAAGTTGGACTGGAACAAAAGTATATTTTCAGTAGCTGTAGCTGTAACTACCATATCATTTATTATGAACATAAGCAACAAAGCACTGCAGTATTAGCAGTTCCTATGACTGTGTAGTAGTTTATGGTTTTTTTAGTGTGTGTGTATGAATGCAGGTGCCCATGGAGGCCAAAACAGCACCAGATCTGTATAACAGCATCGTCTGGTGCTTTGTATTTGATTGTTAATTATTTTGCTCCCCAAGATCTGCTTGCTGTCTCTTATGAGCAAACTATCATGTACCCCAAATGTTACTGTATAACCTTGTCTCTAAGTAATCCCCATTTGACCAATAAAATGTCTACACACCTGGGCAGGGCAGAAATGAGGTGGGTGTGGACAAGGTTCAAGGTCAGGGAGGACAGAAGGATCGTGGGAAGGAGAAGGACAGGTATAAGAGGAGAAGAAGGAAGTGGAGCTACCATAGGTTAGCAGGGAAAGAACCACGTGACGGGAGGAGTAGCCGGGAGGAATACTCTGGAGAGAAACAGCCCAGATGGAAAGCATGCACGAGTATTTATGAAGATACTGGATGGAAAGTAGCCCAGATAGGAATGATCAAAGCAAATGGCCTGGGATGTGGGGCTGAGAGATAACAAGATAGATTAGGGAGTAATATCAACCCAGCCCCAGAAGAAACAAGGCTTATTTAAAATACAATAGGTGTCTGAGTCTTTTATTGTTATGGTATCGGATTAATGACCGCCATAATAATTATAAGCCATTAGTGGTAACCATTAGCCGTGTTGTTTTCTTCAGCAGATCTGGGCTCAGTTATAGGCATCTGTGAGTCTCCTCGCATGGGTCCTGGGAATGGAACACTGGTCCTCTAGACCATGTATGCTCTTAACCACTGAGCCCCACTCCAGTCCCATGCTCAGCATTTTAAATTTGGTATTTTCCATCTACCGCTATAGTTGTTAAAGATTTCTCACATTCATAGTCGCCTGTTTTGATCATTGTTAAACTCTGCTTATTGTGGTGCGTGCCAAACAAGCATCCTACCCCTGAGCCACCTCCCCAGCCCTTGCTTTTCAAGGCAGCCTCCGCCTATACAGGTCACGACCTCAAACTCATGACCATCTTGGTTCAGCCTTAGCCTCATCCTCCATATTCGAGGATTACAAGCCCGGGCTTCTGTTCTCCGCTCTAACTTTTTTTATGGCTAATTAGTGTATGTTAATTTGTTGAATAATATTACAGTTTTACTTTACTTCTTGGCTGTGAGCACAAGTGCGTGTTTGTCAGAGGGATGTCTTTGAAGTTGCTACCAGCCGGCCCCCAATACTTGTAAGAGTAGCAGCAGCAGAGGTGCTGAGTGGCACTCGTCCCCTCCTGTGCCGTGGCGTGAGCACTTCATGTGCACACACTGATTTTACGCACACACTTGCACGTGGGAGGTGGCCAGCCTTCACTACGCTGCTTACCGGGAGGAGCTGGCCAAGGCGTGCAAAGTCTTCTCTTATGAATGTACTTTAGCTGGCCGGCGCATCCCCAAGTAGAAGAATGGATGTGACACACTCGAGGAACTGAACCGGGGCTTGCAGCTTCCTGCAGTGACTCTTGCTCTAGACTCTTCCAGAGAGGCAGAAGCTAGTAAACATCTCCAATAGCAGCACCGCCCCAGGGAACCCTGGGAGTCGCTAGGGTGTTTGCTTGCTTGCTTTTGGTTTTTTGAGGCAGGGTTTCTCTGTGTAGCCTTGGCTGTCCTGGACTCACTTTGTAGACCAGGCTGGCTTCGAATTCTCAGCGACCCGCCTGCCTCTGCCTCCCCGAGTGCTGGAATCACAGGTGTGTGCCACCGTGCCTGGCTGTTAGGGTGTTTTAAGGAGCTATTTTACAGTTATTCTGAGTTTTCATGGGCTGGGATTGCCATCTGCTTCAGCACCCAGGCCCTCCTGGTTACCTTCCCTGTCCCACTTGAGGCTCGGTATGACCTAGCTCAGGCTCTCTGGTCTCTGGGAGTGGCTTAGCTCTCTGTGAGAGGACTAAGGAAGTGATGGGGAGGAGACCGGACAGGGCAGGCTGGTCTGAGGCACTCCACCCGAAGCATTTCAGTTCACAGAATGGAAGAGGTCAGTGGGGAGGGAAGATCTGAAGATGCCGCCCTGCAAGAAAGCATGAAGGGGAAGGGGAACAGACAGACTTCAAGAGATAAACACTCTAGAGAAAGGAAGGTGGGCCATAGGTAGAAGATATCAAGTGGAATTAGGAGGGACACTCGGATACGGAGATTGCAAGGGAGTGAGGAGCTCTGAAGAAAGTCAAGGCTTTCCAGAGCAGGACCCAGGCGCCAGGCTCCTGCAGCCTGGCCATTACTAAACCTTTCTTTCATACGTTCAGGGCGGTGGCAGCCTTGCCATGCTACCTGACAAACCCATGGAGCTTCTTCCTGCTCCAGCTGGAGAATCACACCTGGCTGGGGGCTCTCATAACTGTTCCACGGAAATGGCAGAGCCATTGAGAAAAGCTTCTCTGTCTTGAGGAGCTTCAGAGAGTGAGCTGCATACTGGCCAACGGACTGAGCCTTGTCCAGATGTGAGATGGACTCAGTCGCCTGTGACCGCTAAAGCCTGGGCCAAACCCACAGAAGCAGCACAACATGGAGCATTTTGGAGTCAGATTTTGAGGGCTCAGGCTGGGCCTCAGCGTGTGAGTGGTAACTCCCAGCAAATTACTTCACCTCTCTTCCTCAGCTTCCTAATCTGTAAAATAGGTACTGAACTAAAGTTACCTCCATCAAAAAAGTTTTTACTTTATTTCCCAGCCAGGTGTGTTGGCACATGCCTGTAACTGTTCTGCCCAGTTCACGAACCCCAAAAGACCAGGAATATACGGACTCAGCTGTAAATACATGAGGTTCCTTTTATTGTAAATCACAAGCTGCAGCTTGGGCTTACACAGTCCCAAAGCTTCGGTGCCCAGGTTAGTTGGGTGATTTTAAAGACTCTGGTCCCTCCCAGCATGCCCAAGGCAGGGGCGATTCCTGTCTGGCAAGCATCTGTTGGTCAAAATGCTACATTTTGAATCGATTGGCTATAGGAAGGTTTCCAGACCATTAATGACCTGGTGTCCCTCCCTAGGGGGATGGGCCAGTTTCCTAGCAACTGTAACTCTAGTGGGTGGGGAAAGAATGCAGTGAGGTGGCCCTTCCCCTCAGGGCATAACTAGACTTCTTTTCCTACCTACTTCAGGTCTTAATAATAGTGCTAATTTATCTTTTGGTCTCTCATAACCTTGGCAACTAGGAAGGCAGAGGCAGAAGGATTGCCACAAGTGGGAGACCAGGCTGGTCTACATAGCAAGACCCTTCTCTAAACAAACCAAAAACTCTGTCATAGTTTTTTTTTTTTTTTAACCTTTGTGTGAGTGTATTAAACAAGTGCATAAAAGTGTTGTTTACAGTGAAGGTATAAAACCCCAAGCCAGAGTCCAAGGCCTCAGAATGGCCAGTCTATCTGGACATTCAGAGATGCATGGAGTTATGGACTGGGCAGTGTTTCTTTGCATTAAGGACACTCACAATCAGATATATCATCTGATAGGTGAATTGTACAGCCACAGGACTGGAAACGGAAGCCAAGAAGTTACCATGTTTAAAGAAAGCATGGAAACCCATCACCTCCATAACTGCTGTTGCTCAAGGAAAAGCACAGATAAGGGAGAGTTGATGGAACTGATCCAATTCATAAGTTAATTGACCCTCTTAATAAGTTAAGAAATAAGAAGGTAGTTCAAGTTCATGGGTGACAAAGCCAGGGATAGTAGAGGCTAGAGACCAATGGAAGAATCCGCTCCCACCTGCAATGTAGTGAAAGGTTAGAGTTAATTCCTGGGGCTGGGGCAGAATCACAAGACCACATTCCTTTCAGAGCAGAGGGCTAGCCCAGAGGCTAGGGCAGAATCACAAGACCACATTCCTTTCAGATAATGGGCCAGCAGCAGTCCCCACCCAGATAAACCTCAGGGTATGACTGGAGTCACATGGCCCCTAAGAACTAGAGGTCAGATGTCTCCCAGGTAGCTAGGCCTGACCGTTAGCAGTCCTGGCCCTAAAAACAGACCAATCATTTTAAAGGTCAGCTTCCCTAGAGACCACGCTTGTGTTTTGTTCCTCTTACCCAATCCTGTAATGCCAAGGCTTGTACTACCCCACTGATGTTTTTGTTCCTTTAAAAACCTCGATCTCCCGGAGTCGGGGATCGCTTGCCTGTATGTCTTTGTAAAGGGCAGCCACCCTGCTCGAGCGTGTAATAAAAAGACCCACGTGTGTTTTGCAATGGAGTCAATTCCTGTAGGTCTTTTGGGGGCTCGGGAACTGGGTGTATCCTGGACACCATGCGAAATTGGTGAACTTGAGTGCAGCAGTTTCAGTTCATAAGACTGTCCTCAAGTTTCTTCTTTCCTCCATCATCGTACATGTACCGTGTATGGTTAGATGTTATCCCCGGGGAAAGTAGAGAAACAAGCGCCTCGGTTGCCTGGAGGACACAAAGGGGCGACGGCCCAGCGCCCGCTGGGGCCATTGGGAAATGTAGTCCGGACAGAAGGGGCAGCCTCGCTGAGCTGCGCTGACAGGCTCAGTCCCTATGTCTCTCTACCTACCTGTGTGAGTGTGTTTTTACCTGCCTCTGCGTACGTGCACGGGCACGTGTGGTGCCGGGAGAGGCTGGAGGAGGGCACCGGTTCCCAGAGAGCTCTTCATTGCTGAGCCGTTTCTCTAGTTCCTCCTTGGATCTCTTTGCGGGATGGAACCCAGGCCCTCAAGAGTGCCAGGCAAGCTAGCACGCTGCCCCTCGGGCCGGCCGTGTCCCCGGCAGCGTCTTCATCGGACTCCATGCTTCATTCAAACAAATAGCACGTTCTTCAGGAAAAACTTCTTTCATGACTGCAATTTTGAGAATAACTGCCCAACCCTCCGTGTCTCTTTCAGTGTGTGCACGCGCACACACGTTTCTCTGAGTGTCACTGTGGCGAACATGATGCGCCAGGGTAGGCATGCCCTTCAGGAATTGCGGGCGTGGCTGTGTTCACAGTGTGTGGTATTCTGATGTTCAAATGTGCGGCGGTAGGGACAGATCCGTGCAGCGTGCCATAGGAATGAGCCTGACACAGGGAAGGGTTAGAATAGCGGATGTGTGCTTGTGTATGGAACTCTTCTCTGTGGTAGCTGATCGAAAGCCAATCCTTGTACGGGAGAAGCTCTCCGTGGTGCTGGGATAGGCAAGCCAGACGTTTAAAAAAAAACCGTCTGGGCCCTAATCTCAGCAGCTGGGAAGCAGAGCAGGGCGATTTCTGTGAGCGCGCGGCCACTCTGCTCTTCACAGCAAGCCACGGCAAATTCAAGAAGCTTCTGTGACAACAATGATACCAGGCAAGGAGAGGAGAAGGCAACCATTGCCTACAGTTCTGTGTCTACAGCAGGGCCTGGAGAGACGGCCTGCAGAGGGCCTGGGCTCAATCCCCGGAACTCACCCGGAGTGGCTCTCAACCACCTGCCAGACCCGTTCAGGGAATCGGATTCCCTCTTCTGGTCTCTCTGTGCCTTGCATACGTGTGGTGCAGACGTACCTGCAGGCAAAATACTCATACACACGACAGAAAAAGAAACCTCTAAAAACAAAGACGACCTGCTCCTGCAGCGTGGATCAAAGTACTTGTAAACCACATAGCTAATTAAGTTGGGCTTTTCTGTTGTTTGTTTTTGTTCCCTGTTTGTGTTGTTTTGTTTGCTGGTCCTGGAGTTGGATCCCAGGGCCTTGGGCATACAAGGCAAGCAAGACCCCCTGAGCTACATCCCCAACTCCAGGCAATAAGACAATCAAAACCAATTAAAAAAAAAAAAAAAAAGCAACAAGCAAACAATTTGAACAGACGTTTCCTCAGAGAAGATAGGTTATGTCCGCAAGCAGCAGAAGAGCTGCCCAGTATCTTTCGTAATTAGATTACTAGAGAGGGAGCAAGGGAAAGGACGGAGAAAGAATGGCTAAGCGGGACAGGGGTCCAGCTGACTGGTCGACGGCTCAGTCTCCTTACGAGCTGGTTCCCACGCGGGCCCGGCGACCGTGGTTACAGTCCTGCGTCGTCAGGGCAGCACCGCCGTCGGCCAGAATCGAGGAGTGTTTCTGTCGAAACCGGAAGATGGCGGTGAAACGCCGTGGAGAACCTGCGACGCGGCCGCGGTCGCCGCAGCGGTTGCAAATTCACACGGCCTTAGACGTCACTCAACCGCAGCGTCCTTTAACTCCGTAAGCTCCACACCCCGAGCCCGTGACCTCAGTCTCCCACACGCGTGTTCACGTAACTCCGCCTCCTCCTCCCTGCTCCCAGGAGTTTGTGACTGCGGAGGACCACCCTCGCCGTGCAGGGGGAGACGGTCGCCGGTGGGCCGCGCCTCCCGCCTAGACCGGACTCCTTAAACCCTGAGATCCTCCTGCCAGAGCCATTTTTTCCCCATCTGGGTGAGAGCAAGTCTCGGGCCGTGAAGGCCTCTGGGAGATGTAGTCCGGAGCCCAGAAAGCAGCGGCTCCATTAGGATTCCTCTCAGTTGCAAGTTGCGCTCCCGGGCTGTGAGCTCCAGGCCGCGGGGAAGCCGCTGCCGGAAAACCCGCCGAGGCCTAAGGCCATTCCCCTGCCGGGGCGCGGCGTCCTCCCCAGGGCCGTGGGCACCGCTCCCCCAGCTCGCTCCCGGAAGGCCAGACCCGCCCGGCTAGCCGCGGGGGCCTCTGGGAAGCGCTACCTGCGGCTAACGGACCCCAGGTTTGTGGCCCTTCTCCCCGTGACCTTAGCTCGCAGGCCGCTGGGCTGTGCGCCTTGGGCGGCGTTGGGGTGTGGGGTGGCGGGCGGTGGCCGGGCTCGGCGGTGGGTCCCCGGGAGGCCGGAGGCCCGGACTCTTTGTGCTGGGTGGGATCCGGGCCCTGTGCACCCGGCGCGGGTGTGGATGGAGGACGCGGTGCCAGCGGTGGGCAGCGGCCGTGGCCTTCGCGTGACGTGGTTGCGGTTTGCGAGTTCTCTTTCGTGTGCTCTTAGGGTCGTGGGTGCACGGGTGATGACTGAGCTAATGAATGGGTGAGAAACTGTGTGGGTGGGATTGTGTGTGGAGCTGCGTGGAGACGGTGTTGGAACGAGGGCTGTAATGAGCTTGTGATAATCGGAAATGCGTTTTCATACTAAATATCAGTAGCCCCAGCGCTCGGCTATTCATCTTCCTGTATTGACAAGCTGTCTTGTGTCTTTCACCCTGCTGCTTGCTTCCACTCCATTCCCCAAAGAGCAAGATGTAGAAAAGCCCGAAGATGAAAAATGATTCAGTTCTACAAGTCATACAGCTCCTGTCAAATTTACTTCTCTCCACTCTTTGCGACTAAGAACACGGGCATCTATGTGTTCATATGAAGAACATGGGGCCTTAAAAGAGCAACCACGTCATATACAGAGTTCTGTAACTTATGGCTCTTGTTTAACAGTGTATTGTTAACATAGAGACATCAACAATTACAAATGTGTACCGTTTACATTTCCCTTGGTATACACATATGCGTCTGTCTCTGGAATAGTTTGGCCTGAAGTTATAGGTTTAGGTTTATGACCAAAGAGCTGTTTGACAGCATTATAAGGTCGGCCCCACCCTGTAGGTAGGCTTTTAGAAGTGGAAATGATATGTTAATGGGTATATCTTCACTAAAACCACCCTAAATGTAAAATGTTTATTCCTTTTTTTTTTTTTTTTAAACTGTGTAGCCCAGGCTGGCCTCGAACTCGTGATCCTCCTGCCTCTGCCTCCTTCAGCAAATCCTACCGGTGTGCGCCACCACAACCGGCAAATGTTTGTTCCTAGTGCAAGGTTTTAATATTCTATACTATTGCTGAAGTCATAGATAAATCTATTGTTGGAATATAATAATAATATTGGATAAATATAATATTTGAATGGAAACACACCCTCGATAGCATCCAAAATCAAGCATTTTTTAAAAATATTTTTTGTTATTGTTTCCTAAAGTTGTGCTATATTTTCATCTTTTGTTTCCAGAGTGCTTCCTGTGCTGAGGCTCCTTTTATAAACTCAATACTTACTGAATGTTGGATACATACCAGTCAATTGTTGGTGCTTCGTGAATAGCCGTGAACAAAAGAAGCAGCCAGCGCCCGCCCCCAGCTATCATGCTGCTTACATTGCTGCTGGCCAGATAAGAAAGTAAGTAAATTAAATATGAAATATATCAAATGCTGAAAAACACTAAGAAAAAAAAGTCAAAATCAGAGGCTATTGAGAATTGGAGATGGGAAGTAGATTTAGATGGAGGGCCAGGGAAGGCATAGAGAAAGGGAACGATAAGGAGATGACGGAAGAAAAGGAGCTAGGAAGGATTCGTCCACACAGGGAGAATGCACTTGTAAAGGTTTTGCCGTTTTCCTGCTTGCTCGGATGAAAACGCTGGTGGTTAAAACAGTGAATGAAGGGGAAGACTAGTGCAAGGTGCACGAAGAAAGCTCAGTGGGGGCGGGGGAAGCAGGAAGGTGGGCTTTATCGCTCGTAGTCACGATTTCAGCTTTCTTGAGGTGGGAGGTATTCTGAATGTGGCAACTTTGGCTGCTCTGGTGCCAGTGAACAGTTGGAAAAGGAATGAAGAAGGGGCAGGGGCAGAGTAAGTGAAGGAGAGAAAGCCCAGTCAAGAAACTTGGAATAGTCCAGGGATGGACTGGACCAGCAGGAATGCGAGGAAGGAGTGGTGCCCTTAGTACAAAGGAAGAGCAGCGCTGCAGGAGGTGGCTGGAGGAACCGAGGCAGAATGTGATTAGAACAGGAGAGCACGATGTTTATTTAGTTGCAAATTTGATCTCCCCACCCACAGACAGGGTTCCTCTGTGTAGCCCTGGCTGTCCTGGAACTCACTTTGTAGACCACGCTGGTCTTGAACTCACAGAGATGCGCCTGCCTCTGCTGGGGTTACAAGTGTGGGCTGGACTGGCTTCTTTTAGCTGGCACTTTTCTAGGGCTTATCATTTTGTACCAGGAAGTATATGCTTAAGGTAAACATTAGGTTTATACTGATATTTCCAGTGTTCCCAGTTAGAATTACAGGGCTTTGGGGCTGCAGAGTGTCTCAGTTGTTAGCGTGTAGATGTCAGCTCTCTTCCACTGTGTGTGTCTCGGATTAAACTCTCCTCCTTACACCTTGTGGTCTACCTGAGAGACTGTGAGCCCAGGAAATGAAGCTCCACCTACTTCTCTTCTACCCAGTTACAGGCTGTCCAGCTTTCTTTATTAACCAGCTAGAGATAATTGGGGAGCGAAGCTTACAGAACAAAAACAGGTGTACATAAGAATACGCTCATCTGGACTGCACTTGGATCTTGGGGCCCAGAATTTAGCATTTGTACTCAAAGCACCAGACCAAGCCCCAACGCTATAGCTCTTTTTCTTGTTTCTGTAGAGTTGTGTTGCGTGTGTTTACTGGCTTCTGCTTTATTTTCAGCATGTGGCACACTTACGTGTGTGTCGCTCTCTCCCACCCTCAGCCTTCTATTCTCTGAGCTTCTTATAATTATGGCCAAACACTTCATCACTTTGTGACATTCCTGTACATCATTATTTAAAATACTTCTTTTCCTTTTGGCATCCAATCGCATTTATTAAATGCTTTAATACTGTCTCATAGTTTGGTTATTTTCCACTGTTCTGCATTTATGTTTAGAAAGTGTCTATTGACATGGCTTAAAACTCACTGATGTTTCCCTTCATGTATTGATTCTGCTGAGCAGCACAAAGACAGTTTTTGCTTATGTTTGAAAGATTTTTATTTATAGCATCCGCTTTCTTTCCTAGTTTCTATGTCTTTGCTTATTGTCCATATGTCTCTATTTTTCCATTAAAGACCTCAACACACTAATCATAATGTCTCAGAACTCATCTGACAAGCTTTACTGCACGCTTCCTATGACTTGCTATGCTAGGCCATGAGACATCAAGTCTCACAGCGTCCACACCGTACACGCTCTGCAGTGCAGGGGTCCTGACATACCAACAAATAACACTACTGCAGAGTGCCGGTTGTCACAGTGTGGGAGCCTAGGGGACGCAGGAGCTTCCCAGCTAAGCAGTGAAGTGGTGTTGACTTCACAGAAGGCTTTGGCAAAGGAAAGCGGGGCTGGTCAGGAGTCGCTGTATGGAAACAGAATGTGCAGTGGCTTTTAGGGAGTACGTACTGTGTGTTTTCTTAAAAGTGTATCATAGCCAGGCATGGTGGTGCAGTCCTTTTACCTCAGCATTGGGAGGAAGAAGCAGGTGGATCTCTGTGAGTTCAAAGCCAGCCTGGTCTACAGAACCATTTCCAAGATAGCCAGAGTGGTTACCCTGTCTTGAAAAACGAAAACAAACAAACAAAGGTATTTAATTCCATATAGCTGAAGTTCAACTTTGGGAATCAAGGCCAATGAGGCATTTAGAAACAAATCTATGAAAGAAGCTACTGAACGAATTTCAGCAGGAGAGCATTTTAGAAGTATAATTTTAGAAGATTTATATGGCTATGTGAGGGCTTGCATGTGTGTGTATGAACTGCGTATGTGCTTGGTGACCTTGGAGGGTGTTAGAGCCTCCAAAGATGGAGTTTCAGGCTCTTATGAGTGCCCAGTGTGGGTGCCGGGAACTGAAACTTGGTCTTCTGCAAGACCAGGAAGTGCTTTTAACCACTGAGCTATTTCTCCAGCCTCAGGATAAAATTATTGATTAAATCATGGGTTTTCAAAAATAATTTTGAGATGGGTATCCTTAAAATAGTTAGAGATATTTAAATTTGCAGATTTAGAAAACAGGAGGATGTGAGTGTGGGAATGTGCACGGCGGAGGGGCTGCCCAGGGAAGCCAGAGAGGGCACCAGATTCCCCGGAGCTGGAGGTACAGGCACTGAGTCACCAGATATGGACGAGCAGCAAGTGCGCTTAACCTCGGAGCCAGCTCTCCAGCCTCAGGAATAGATTTTATTACTGTATCAGTGTTCAATGTTTTTGATATAATAGTGGCATTAGTTTACATGGGAGAGTTTCTTTGTTTTTATCAGATACAAGCTAGTGAAGGTCAGCCAGGCAGTGGTGGCTCATGCCTTTAATCCCAGCACTCCAAAAGGCAGAGGCAGGTGGATCTCTTAATTTCCAGGCCCATTCTACAAAGCAAGTTCCAGGAAAGCCAGGGCTATAGAGAGAAACCCTGTCTTGGGGAAAAAAAAAAAAAAAAAAAAGTAAAATGAATACAAATTGAGGGAATTTGAGGAAAATACTGTCGATGGACCGTCTCAGCCCAACAGCTGCCCAAGTAATGACACAGAGACCTTTTATTTACCTAAGAAAGTGTGGCCTTGGTGTAGGCTTGTTCCCGACTAGCTCACAGAACCTAAATTAACCCGAGTATACTAACCTATGTTATGCCTCGGGCTTGTTTCACACACCGGTCTTTTCCTCTGTGTCTGGCTGGGGAGCCCCTTCCCCTTCGCCTGCTGCTTCTTTCCCAGAGTTCCTCTCTCTGCCCAGATGTCCTGCCCATTTTCTCCTGCCTGCCATGGGCCAGTCAGCTCTTTAGTAAACCAATCAGAAGACAATGGAGAAGATGGTTCCAGAACACTGAGACAGACGATGCTTCATGATAATAACAATCCTGAAGTCCAGCCTGTACTCAGACCTCTGTTGGTGCAAAAGTCACTATTGGAATAATACAAAGACAACCTTTACACAGCGCACAAGACATTATCCCAACCAAACACATGCAAGTTCATGACATAACCTAGAGGAAAGGAAGGAAACAGGGAAACTGTTTTAGGAAGCAATCCCTCAGCTTTAACAGCCCACAAGAGGGAGCGCTTTGCATGTTGGCTAGTGTGTTCTGTTACCCATGTCTGAAAACTGCGGGCGGGAGCTTCCTTCTCAGGTGCAAGGACTGAGTGTGTCCTGAGAGCGAGAGAGAGCTTGTAGGCAACCCTGCTTCTTGTGTCGTACACTTCGTGTTGAGAGAGTACTTCTATTTAAAGGACAGCCTTGTGTTGTGCGGTGAGTGAGTGAGTAGCTGAGACAGCCAGTCTCATTCTATAGCCAGGGTGGCCTTGACCTTACGGAAACTTCCTGCCTCAGCCTCCCAAGTTCTGGGAATACAGGCATATGCCTTGCTTGGAATTAAATCAATAAAAGTATATATTTTTACATATATGTGTGTTTATGTGCATACACATACGTCCAAATGTGTATGTATTCAAAGACAGCCAGATGGTTTCAAGGGAGAAGCAAGCCTCTTTTCTGCCCCATTTGTGTCCCTCTTCTGCTGAGGCCAGTGCTGTGTACCTGCCCGTTGTTGGTTTGGAATCTGTGGGTTCTGTTTAGGTTTGAATGGTGTTGAGTCCTCATGTACATGTGAAGAAGAAAGTCTGCTTCTCAGTGTGGATGATGACAAAGTTTCACAGCCACTACTTGAGAAAAGTTTTTGAAACTATAAGCACAGTTATGAGAGAAAACTGTCATCCTTTGTCTCCTTAAAAATACCCAGTAAGAGAATTTAAGGAATGTAGACCAGAAAAGGGGAAAAAATAAGACCAAATTAAGTTTCCGTGGCTGAGAGTTTTTAGCATGTGTTTTAAAAGATGATGAGCGAACAAAAAGGGGAGCATCTTCCCACTTCCGAGGTCCAGGTTAAAAGTGGGCCCGAGTTGCTCTTTCCGCCTTCCGAGAGCTCTTGCAAGGGGCAATGTAGACTCCGGGCGGGGTCAGGTGGACAGGACGGACACAACCATCAGGTGAGGTCCTGGTCCAGCAGGAGCACGCCTCACCATGAGGGAGGAAAAGACTGCCTGTCCCCACTCCTCAGGGTGTTGTTCTGTGTGCCTCCGTCGAGGAAAGGTAAGTGCTTGTGTTAGTGTCTGTGTACATGAAAACTATGAAAAATAAAGGTTTGCTTATCTTCCTCATCAGTACTTCTGATACACGCTACTATCAGACATATATATACATTGCATTTCTGGGACACATCACCTTTTTGTTAAGTTCCCATTTAATTATTATTATTATTTTTTAATGTCTTGGTACCCTAAGGGAGCCTGTATGCCTTAGCGGTGTCCTGATTTTCCCTGGCCCATGCTCTCAGAGCTGTGGATGAAGCGCTGGGCACCCCAACAGACCCCACTCCCAGCTCCACACCATCTTTCTAGTGATCCTTAGGCCATTAGCTCTTCAGTAGTGTGAATATTTTTGCACTTTCTGCTGGATCCAAGAGTGATTAGAAGTGGTAAATACAGATTTCTAAAGCCACATGTGTGACCGTGTTTTAATGACTTCCATTCTTTTTCCAGCTCAGCCTGCTCAGGACACCCCTCCCTGAAAAGAAGAGGAAATGACTGAGCCCACGGTAAATAATAAATAGTGTCTCGTCCTCCGCTTCTTCTGTGTCCTTCTTCTTTAAGGACCCAGTGGTAGCCCATGGCCTGCATTTAGAAGGTCTACATACGTAAAACATTTTTTTCCAGAGGAAGTAGCATTAGAAGAGTAAAACTAAGGGAGAGTTCAGGTGTGGTTGCTTCATGAAATCCAGCCAGAGGGGTTAGGGCTGGGCCTCAGGTTTCAGCTTCATTCTTTTAGAGAACGAGTTGATTACATTGCTTGTATTGCATAGATGAAGCTAAGAACAGCCATGTCCTCGCCGGAAAAGCCGTCCGTTGGCACCTGCCTCAGCGAGGACAGTGATCCACGCTCCTTACATTTAGGCCTGCATTTCCATGGGTCTGTTTTGAGGAACTATGAAACAGTCTCTGTCCAGGGAGTTCAGACACGGAAGGAGCCCAAAGGAGCAGCGGCCGCCCTGGAGCTCGGCAGCTGGGGGGTGTAAACTGTCCGGGGCTGCACGTGGCGGAGCAGTGGAGCCGCGCGGCGGCAGGGACATTGAGCTGTTTGCTGTTGACTGCAGCCCTCACCTCTGACCTCTTTATCTCAGCTGAGGCAAATACCCAAGGTCCCTCTTCCTCGACCATGTTTTCCTATTTGCTCTTTAACCTCTGGTTTTTGCCTCGGGCACCCTGGGATAATTTTCAAAGTGAGCGCACAGTATAGCCAGCATAGGTCAAGAAATAGAATTGTTGGCCAGTGAGGTGGCCGAGAGCGAAGGCACTTGCCAGGTTTGAAGATGTGAGTTCAGTCTGGGTCCCGTGTGATGGGGGAGGACCCAGTCATGTGACCCATGTGAGCTGCCTGGATCTGGCTGTATTTCATGTTTGTCAGATTCATCCATGGTAAAGTCATCCAGGTTGGCTCAGTTTCTCTCATTCAATTATCAAATAAATTAGCTTTTATTTATACATATTGTCGAAGACACTTAATTGGCTTTATTTTTAGAGGATTATCAATATAAAAATGAAATTTCTTATAAATGGTAGGTTGTGCATAAAGTCCATTGTTATGGAAAAGTTTTCTTACTTTCTGTTTGGTTTTTGTTATTGTTTTGGTTTTTAAGGCAGGGTTTCTCTTTGCAGCTTTGGCTTTCCTGGTCTCACTTTGTAGATCAGGCTGGCCTCAAACTCACAGACTCCACCTGCCTCTATCTCCCCAAGTGCTGGGATCACAGGCGTGCACCACCACGTCCGACTGGAAAAGTTTTCCAAAGTGTCCAAAATGACACTGTGCCCAGTCGTCCCAAATGACCTTGTTGAGTGTCGCTCTTGGTCTGTCTTGTGGTAATAGGGACTGAACCCAGGGCACCATGAATGAGTGCTCTACCACAAAGTAGACGCCCTCACTCTTAGGATATCTAAAAAAGGGGGGTGTGTGTCTGCGTGTGCGCGTGCGCATGCACGTGGACATGTTCCGGTGCCCTTGGAGTCCAAAAGAGAGTGTCAGATTCTCTGCAGCCACAATCACAGGCAATTGTGAGCTGCCTGACATGGGTACTGGAATTGAACCTGGGTCCTCTGCAAAAGCAGCAAGTACCCTTATTAACCCCTGAGCCATCTCTCCAGCCCTACTGGATGGATGTTCTATATTTAAAAGCTTGCCTTTTCAACATAATAGCAATTCATTTGTTGGTAAAGAGAAACTCAAATTTTGAGTACATAAAAATCGTATTGTTAAGAGTGGGATTGGGAGGGAAAGGAGGGGGCTACAGCTGGGATAGAAGTGAATGACCTGTGATTAAAATAAAATAAAATTTTAAAAAGCTGAAAAAAAATTATATTGTTAAGGAAAACAAAGATGGCGGCAGCTACTGGCACCCCGGAACTCCGTAGGGTCTGAGTGACCCACAGAGGGTCTGAAGGGTCATACAGCAGTGGAAAAGGAGTCTGCGGAGCCTGCAGTAGCTCTGGAACAGCTGTGAAGAAAAGGCAGGTCTATGGGAAGATGTTTTTAAAAAGCGGACTCGTGCAGTTGAGAAGAAAGACGGTAGAACAGAGCCAAGCATGGCAGAGAATGACAAATCTATACTCCAGGCTGCTGCATCTCAGCCAGCATCTGCATGCACAAAGACGGCGCCCAACAAGCCGTGGGGCTGCCATGGGTGCACCAGTGGGGAGGCATCGTGGTCTGGAGCTCCCACAGAAACAGATCGTTATGCGTATGGCCAGTGATTGTGCCTGGTGAGCTGCGGGGGACACCAAGGTCAGGGTAGTGTGCAGTGGCCCTGAGCTCCCTGGGAAACACGTCACTGCTGAATAGGGCTGGCCTCGGGCTTCCAGCGTGGAGCTGCTGCGGCTGCAGCTTACGCAGCTTGCACTGCCGAGTGACAGAGAGGGCAGCAGTGCTGCCCACAGGCCACAGGCGCAAAGGGTAAGCCTGGTGAGCACAGCATCACCCTGACTGGGTAATAGCAGGATATCCGAGACGAGTCTGGCCAGGGTCAGTTATTTATGGTGCTTCAGAAACCTTGAACTGTGATGCCCAATTCATGAGATCCCAAAGACCACCAGGAATCGACTCTGTTGCAAATACATGAGGGTTTATCTGATACAAGTTCAAGCTCGGGCCGCAAGTTCCCTGTGAAAACAGAGAGGTATGCAGCCCTGAGGTCTGGGGGAACAGGGTTTTTAAAACCGAAAGCGGGGAATTTCCAAGCTTTTTCCAAGCCTTGGTCTATTTTAGGCGCCAAGGCCGTAAAGGTCCTGGCCTGTCCATCTGGAGGGTGTCTGCTCCTGTTAGGGAGGGAGAATGATTAGCACATCTTGTCTTGTGGTTTTCTTAATAGCAGGGCTGTGTGACCTTGGTCACCCCCTAGGGGCCATCTGAGTGCCTTGCCAGGCAACAGTAGCTCTCAATGCAAGCCTGGTTACTTTTCTGCAGCAGGGCAGGTCTGTCTCAACTTGCCCGCTTCTTTGTCTAAACTTGTACCCCAGGACCACAGTCACGTTGCCCCAGGATTTAATTTAAAATTTTGGACCTCTCAGAACCAGGTTGCAATGACTCACTGCAGCGAATGTTTGCTTATAAAGTCGATAGGGCAAAAATTATACTGTGACACGCTGCAGTTTCCAGTGCTACGACAATGAATGAATACTAGGCTGTTTTCACCTGGTAGAACCGTGTGTGTGAGTGTGTGCATATGTATTCAAGTGTATGTACGTGTATGTACGTGTGTGTGTGTGTGTGTGTGTGTGTGTGTGTGTGTGTGTGTGTGTG